AACTCTGACCTAGACACTCTGGGATTTCAGATCCTCTGTTCCTCATCTTCTGTCCCTTACACAAGAGGAGACATTATTCTGAAGCAGGACAAGCTTCACTCATTGCTCTGCTCCTCTGGGTGGCACAGGACACAACCTCTAATCTGAGCTTTGGTTTGGATAAATGTCCCCCAAGACCTATGAGTTAAAGCTGGGCTTCCTGCCAAAGGCATATTGGGAGGTGGTTTCCATCTTGAGTAGGAGAGGGCTTGGGGGTCTTCTGGTTGAGGGGCACCACCCCTATCTCCTTTTCAACCTCTTTCTGTGCCTGACCCTGCATTGTGTGGAGTGAGGCTGCAGGTTCTCTCAAGGGAAGCTTCAGCTTAGAATTTACCCTTAGTTATGAATATAATTAATTGTGACTATCTACCTCCAGGACTCAGATTCCCATTAGTTGAGGAAGGTTTTAGTCATCACATCTGCTGTGTCCTCATGGCTCCGTGCAGACATGCTATGGAAGGGCAGCTGCTCAGTCAAAGCACACCTCATGCTCCATGTCTGACCTTCCTCCTGGAATCCTCCAGGGATGTCACCAAATTCCACCACCTTTCTTCTGGAAAAGCAGTGCTGGGTAATTTGGTAACATCCAGAGGTGTTTCTGCAGGTGACAGGACAAACACAGTGCCTCAGAGGAGTGGCAGTCACACCCAGGACCCTGGGATTCATGCATCATGAGGTGCCACTGCTCTCCCCAGCTGTGAGGGTTTTTGTTCAGGGATTTGTCACTGTGGTCTCCTGGCCACTCAATGCAGTAATAAGTGCCAGCATCATTTGTCTCCATGTTGCTGATGGTGAGGGTAAAATATGCTCCCAAATGACTGCCACTGAACTATGCTGGGACTCCTGAAGCCAGGGTGAATGTGCAATGCACCAGGAGGTTCGGGGCCTGGCCTGGTTTCTGCTGGTATCAAGAAAACTTGAAGTTCTCCTTGGGGTTGGTTGTGCAGGTGATGGTGGATCTTTCCCTAGGATAGACAGCCAGGAGAGCTGGGGACTGGGTGAGAGCAGTACCCATTTTCACACCTGCAATCTCATAAGACTTTTCAAGGTCAGTGTAAGGACACAAACAATTTAACCCGGGCAAAGCATATATACTTCACTATTGAAAGGAAACATTTAGGGTGAGGGATCCATTTCCTTTGGAGAAAGATTGTCTCAGGCACATGTTCAGTGGGTCCCCTCTGGCAATGTCCATGGGAAGGTGGCTCAGAGCATCATGTCCCCTTCCTTTGCTCACCTGAGATGAAGAGCAGCAGAAAGCACAGGAGCTGAGATGGGGACAAGACAGCCTCTTCAACAAATGGTGTTTGGAAAACTGAAAAGCCATATGCAGCAAAATGAAATCTAACCCCTAACTCTCACCATGCACAAAACTCAACTCAAAATGGGTCAAGGACCTAGAAATTAGACCAGAGACCCTGTGCCTAATAGAAGAAAATGTATGCCAAAATCTCCATCACGATAGATTAGATAGCCACTTCTTTAACAAGACTCCTAAAGTGCAAGAAATAAAATCAAGAATTTTAAAATCTGGACTGATCCTGTGTTAACTATAGACAGGTGGGGCAAGGCTGGGGGAGATGGGTCATGGGGGCATTTCCTGGAACAATTGTTCTGCCTATGCCCCCTGCCCCCCTTCCCCTGGAGACCTTGTCATGTCCTAAGCTGCTTCTCTCTGCCGTGTCTTCTGCCATGATGTTCTGCCTCACCCAGAGCCCAGAGATATGGAGCCAGTTGGCCATGGATTGAATCTCTGAAGCCAAGAACATCACTATGCCCTGTGACGAACTAAGTTGTTCCTGTCTACTCTTTGTGTCTCAGGGATGAAGAGCTGAGTAAAACCTATACATTGACCCAGTTCTTACATATGAGTATGTTATTTTCCTCATATCTGTGAATTTTCCAGTTTACATTCTGCTGTTAATTTGTAACTTCATACCATTTTCTTCAGAGGAGATAATTTGCATGTTCTATGTTTTAAGGCTTTATAACATCATTCAGATTTGTTTTGTGGCTTAACACATGTAGGATCTTGGAGAACATTGCACGTGCACTTGAGCAATCATGTAACAAGCCATTGTGGGTGGAATCCTCCTACGTGTCTGTTAGGTGGGTCATATTGCTGCAGGTGTCTGTTTTCTGACTTTTCCTCTGTCTGTTTGTCCCAGGGACTATTGAAAGTACAATAGAGGTGTCCCTTCTGTTACTGTATTATAGTCTGTTTGTCCCTCCTAGCTGTCCCTGTTTCTAAATGTGTTTTGGAGCCCTGATGTTTAGTGCACATGTATGTGGCTGTTCTGGTGAATTAACTCTGTTTTCATTATAGAATTTCCTCCTTTGTCCCGAAAGCAATTTTGACAAACTTACAGATGTCGGATAAGAGCATAACTCATTTCTTGTCTCTTGCTCAGTATTTGCCTATGATATTTTCCCGTGTTTTCACTGTCAAGCTCTGCTTGTTCTAAGATCTAGGGTGAGACTATTGGACACAGCATGTAGATATACAGTTTCAATCAATGTTGCCAATCTACATATTTTAATGGAAGGTTAATTTATTAACATTAGCAGAATTACAGAAGGGAAAAAATTTCCCTTTGCCATTTTTTTTAAACCTTTCTTTCTGAGTCATGTCTATTTGAGCATCTTCTCTTTTATTTTTAGTTGATTTGGGGTAAAATATTTTTATTTCCTTCCCATTTTCTTTTTCCTGTGTATATGACAGCTTATTGTTTCCTTTGTTTTGGTGAATTTGGGGTTGAAATATAACACACTAAATTTATAACATCTTAACATGAGCTGGTGACAATTTGACTTCAGTTTCCTTTAATCACTGCCCTCTCTTACATCTCCGCATCCTCTGATGTGACTAATGTCAATTCACTCCTGTTTGTTGTGCAGATGTTAACGTAATGCTTTAGAGACGATGATCATTAATATAGTTCCTAAAAATCCTGTGAAAAACAAGACTAGGGTTATAATGAAATTACACTAATGATTTAAAAATTGTTTCCTGTGTTTGTTTTGACAGAAGAACTCTGTAGTTTTGAATGGTTTCTAGTTGCTCTTTGACCTACTTCATTTCAACTTGGAGCACATATTTTCCCCAGAAATCTCCTTTGTGCCAGTGACACACCAGGGCTTCTGCAGCTGCTGGGACCTTGGTAGATGGTGACTGAGCTGTGGCCATGGCACTCAAGGTCCAGAGCCCTCAGCTGCAGCTTCTTCGTCTCAGACAATCTGCTGAGCTGCTGCCGAGAGCAGCAGCACAGGTGGCAGCTGGGCCACCCAGACAGGGAAGTTTTTGTTCGGGGCTGCACCACTGTGGAAGGAACATGTGTATTTTAAAAGCAGTAATACACCCCAGCATCCTCAGCCTCCACCCTGCTGATTCTCAGTGTGAAATCTGTCCCTGACCCACTGCCACTGAACCTGTCTGGGACCCCAGTGAACCGGTTGGAAACCTTATAGATTAGAAGCTTTGGAGACTGGCCTGGCTTCTGCAGATACCAACTCAAATAGGTGTTTCCATTACTATGTAGGAGGCTCTGACTGGACCTGCAGGAGATGGAGGCTGGCTGTCCAGGAGTAACAGGCAGAGAGGGGAGTCTGAGTCAGCGCAACATCCCCACTGGATCCTGAAATAATGACCAGAAATGAAAATTTATGCACAGTATTATGAAATATTTTCATGATTTCTCTCTTGTTTTTTTTTTTTTTAACTAATCATTTGTGTGTGCAGTGTATGTAGTTTGGGTTCCTACCAAAAAATACAATGTCATATAAGACAGAGGTTGGTGTGGACAATGCCTGTCTAGAGGTGGACAACATAAATCTCCTCTTTCTAGGTCCCGGTCTCCACCAGAACACAAATCTTTCTTTTTCCTTTAGACACTTCCTCTCTTTCATGGATCTAAACATCTCATTCCCCATTTTTTTGAGCTGAATCTCACACCCCAAACCTGGGCAGGGATCACATGTAGGAGGCAATGAGCTCACCCCCCTCCCTCTTCTCCATCCTTGTTTCCTCTGTCCTCACCTGGGATCCAGAGCAGTAGCAGCCCCAGGAGCTGAGCAGGGAGCCTCATTTTGAGAAGCTGAGCTGAGGAGTCCTGGTGAGTCAAGGCCAGGTTAGAGCTGAGCTTTATGTTAGCCTTTCAGGAAGCCTCCCCCCTCCCCAGTGAGCAGCATGCAAATGCCCTGGTGGGTGCAGCTGGGTGGAAAGAACCAATGGGGTGGGTAGGGTGGACAGACTTTGAATGAACAAAATGTCTTCTGTGACAGGAGGGAAACCAAGGAGATGAAGTCCAGGCTGCCTGCAGTTGTGGGCAAAGGATCTGATGGTGAAAGTGAAAATCTTTGGTGAAGACTTAGATTTTCTATGAGTTCAGTAGGAAGCACAAATACAGCACCAGAGACATGAAGATGTAGTCAATTTGTCCAGGGCAATCTCTGGAGAGTGATGGACAGGCTGTTGGACTCCCTCCCAGCAGCAAACTTGGAGAAGGAAATCATCCCACAACCACTAGAACTGACAGGAAATTTCCTACAAAAAAAACACCCCATCCCCTTTAGGTACTTCAGATTTCTGTGGAAGCTCCATGTTAACAAGTGTTGGAAATGATCTCTCCTGGGCCCTTTCATAAATCTAAAGCACATGACAGGGAGAAAGAAAACTTTCTCTGACACTCAAAATCCATAATTGATTCTTAATTTTCAATGGATCCTGGGAAAAGGATCTCCCACAGGGGTCTTTCTCACCATGTTCAACCAGGTCACACCAGATGTCCTGTTCCTTCTTTGCTGTAGGCAAAGATTGTCTCTCTCCCCTGCCCTTTTTGTGTGGGGTAGCCACACCCATGAGTTCTCAGCTCAGAAGATGACACATTTCATGAGAGGTAAGGAACCCTCAGCTATCAGGGCTTAAATTCCCAGGCCACTGATTGGCATCTCCTAGGCCTTCATTTAATCATGGTTCACCCTGGAGGAGGAGGCTGGGCCACAGCTGTTCAAGGTCAGTCCAAATGTCAATCTTATTTTAATAGTAAACAGCATGCTCACTCCCCAGGTGATCAAATGACAACTTGCCTCAGATCACCTTGAGTCTCACACCTCACCTCCTGCAGATTGGTGCCATGGTCAAATTTCTTTTGTCCTGAACTCAGAATTCTGCTGCAATTGAAAGAATAAAGCCTTGTAAGATTGTTTACCAATTTAACAAAGAAGCTAGGCATTTATATGCTCTGGGAAATTCCCAAGAGTAAGATCTGTTAAACTGGTTGGAGGAGAAACTGAAGTGACATTGACTTCACACTGATTCCCACTGTAGCAACCAGATTGACTGACAAACATCTAGGGGAGGGGTGTAGAATTTTACATGTCATATTTACCTAGTTGACATTTTTTAGCCCTCATGTTTTGCTTCATTCTGTGAATTTGCTGTTCTTCTACCTGATATGTGATGATACACAGTTATTCTGAGTCCTTGTTCTGAAAATATAGGCCTTATAATTAGCCAAGCTAGTGTCAGAGTTGGGAAGAAAAGAGCAGAAAACCAACATACAAAGAACTTGTGCACAAATGTCACTTTTACAGCTCATATGTAAGAACTATTCTAATGGTTGTCCAGTGAAAAATTAGTTTTACCCAGTCTCATGGATTAATTATATTTTTCCCAAAACATGGTGACAGTCTATCACTCAGTAACTAGGAATGTGACATGACATGGCCTAATGCTATTAGTGGTAGGTGATTAAGGAAAGGTCCCCCTAGAGCACAGGGGAAAACTGAAGGCCACTGTTGATATGACAGGAGGACCACAGGGCCCAAGCAGAAGCCCAAAGGCAGAAGGAGAGCACAGGGACCCTGGGCAGACCCTGGGTTCAGCTGCTACCAGGCAAGCAGGGCCTGGGACAGCAGAGCCTGGAAGGGACAGGGAAGGGGCCCATCTTCAACTGCAGAGAGAGCTTGGCCTGCTGCGCCTGGACTCCAGACTTGAGCCTCCAGAGCTGGGAGTGAACTCCTCTGAGTCAGGCCAGGTGTGCGGTGCCTATTGAGCAGCCCTGGGAAACTCACGTGCCCATTCCCACTGTGGAAACCTGGATGTGGGAAAACCAGGAACAGAAATAAATCTGTAGCATCTGATTAGTAATAAATCAGGTTTAGAAAAATGTTGGGTTTACAAAGTATTCTATTATAGAATAAAGTTTCAGAGAATGCTGCTATTTTTATTTGAAATGAACATAAGATCTTTAAAATCCTCCTATCTGATTGGTTATTTTATCTCAGAAATTGTTGACATGATAAAATATCTTACAAATTCTTTGTTGACCAGAAACATTTTTCTACATGCCTATAGAAAGACAAGGAAAGGCAGATCATTTATTCCAAGGCAGACTCTCAGGCTCCTGTGAATAGCACACCATGCTGTGTGTGGACATCAAAACTGAGAAGTGTCACAGCTGCTCTCTCTCCCCTGGACACACATTACCAAGGTTCTAAGGGTGGCTGAGACTAAATTCCCCATGGGCCCAGGTGGGAGGAGCCTGTGTGTGTCTAAGGTGGCCAGTTTCAACTGAAAGAGAAGGGATGCATGTGGGTTTCTTGTGGTTTTGACTCTGATGCCAGATGCTGTCAGTTGGGTCCATGAAGATTCAAGCCATTGTGTGACCCCTGGGAGCTGGGAGGCTGCTGGGTACTGGACCTGTGTGGATGTGGTCAGGTCAGAGTGCTGAATTCAGAGTTGGCACTGTCACTCCAGCACCAGGCGGTGCTCTGAGGACAGTGCAGCCCAGTGGCACACACCCTCTGTGTGGCCAGGAGGAGAGACACAGCCCTCTGCCCCTGCCTGGGCCCAAAGGGAGGTCTCTTCAGTGTGAGCTGAGAGTGGGTCGCTGGTGAGACTAGAGATCTATGCTCCCAGAGGGACTTCTCCAAACCCAAGTGTCAGGGTGGATCCTGAGCTCAGAGGCCACAGAGGGCAGCAGGCCACCTTCTCTAAGTCACAACCTGTCACCACTCAGTGGAGGATCAATTCATGGACATGCCAGGTACAGGGAGTCAGGGAAAGCTATGCCCCAAAGCAAGTGTGGGACACTTGCCTGTTTACACTCTTAGTTCTCAGAATTCTCAAGATTGGTTGCACCAAAATTTATATGATAAGCAAACACATAAATTTCCAGAAATTCTATGCAGTTTATTCTTTTTTTTTTTAATTATGACTTACTTTTAATTTTTCTAAATAACATAATGAATGATTATTGTTCATTCAAATTCTAAAGTTAAAAACATTCTAATGAAATGAGTAGATGTGAAAATATTAAATGTCAGCATTTCCACAATGAGGAGTTTTACTTCAATGGTTCCAGTGCATTCTGAGCACACACAGCAGTGAGGTGTGGATGTCACACTGTGCCCAGTCTCCTGCCCATTCCTTTCCCATCCCATCTTTGTCCTCCCTCTGATACAGCTGCTCTGCCCTCTGCTGTCTCCTGTTCCTATTTTTACATGTGCATTACCATGACGTGGAAACTTGAGAGTCATTGTGGACAAGAATGACATTTACAGAATTCTCATGGGAGGTTGCAGGAGGAATCCAAGTGCCCAACCAAGCTGGACAGTGCAGCAATTGATCAAGTAGTTGAGAAATGCCTGTCCACATTCTGCTTTGTTAAGGGCAATAATGTTCAAATATGTCAATTAATTACATATTAATTATAAGGTGAAATTTGAGGTTGCTGATGTCCTAGTTAGTCCTCCTCTAGGAGTTCCTGTATTGGAGGTTTGGTCCCAGTGTGGCCATGATAGGAAATGGTGGGTTCTTTAAGAGGTTAAGCCTAATGGGAGGGGCCAGGTCAGTGGAGATGCTGACCCTGGAAGTACCACTGCTGGACTCACATACAGAGCGAGTCCTCTCCAGAGTGGGTGTTCATAAGTGAGGCCACACCACAGGCCTGGCCACTGCAATGGGCAGCTGGTACCCTTCCCTAACCCTAACCCTAACCCTAACCCTAACCCTTCCCACACACACACCATGTTGTGACACTGCCCAGGGACCTCACCTGTGGACAAAAGGTGAGACTGCCCAACCTTGTACTTTAAGGCTTGAAAACTATGAAACAATACTTTCCTTTACACAGCACTTACTTAGCTCAGGAACTTTGCTATAGCAACAGAAAAATGACTAATAGGTGTTTTTTTTATTAATAAGTGTTTAAATTGAAATTTCATTAAAAGGCCTTGTTGCAGATTAAGAACTCTATCTAAAATAATTGTATCCTACAGGTAGTACCCCAATCTCATGTGTATGGACCACTCCACATTCTAGAAGTGCAGAGTCTCATCCAGCATGCCTGGGTGGCTCTGGAATTCTGCTCTCAGAACAGCTCTCAGACACAGATGACGCTGTTCAGCCTGACACCTTGAACAGGATGGGAAATCACTTCACATCCACACTTGGTTTGCTTTTCATTTGGTAGGAAGATTTCATTGTTTTGGGAAAGGATCTGTGCCTATTGCTTGTAATTTCTTCCTTTACTTTGGACTCTGTGACTTAATAAATCTTTCATAATGTGATTCCAACTTGCTGAAGGCACTTTGTGGCACATAGAAAATACTCTGTGTATATCCTTCCTGGCAGAACTCCAAGAGATGGAAATAATAACCGCCTTTGTGAGGCTGAGACTCAAGCCCAGGAAGTGAGGCTCAGGATCTCGCAGTTGAAGGATGTGAGGCAGGTGGGAATGCTGGTCATCCTTTATACAGAGGGGCTAATAACCTGTAGCCAGACCCCATCCCCGAGCCATTTCGCTAGGCTCTTTTAATGTGCAGTTCAAAGAAAGAAGGCCCCTGCCAACGAGGTACACAGGGCTCCTGCTCACAGGTTATACTTTATGACCTTGAGAGCATGCCCTGACTCAGAGGGGATTATGGCCTTGACCACACAGTAACCATGACAACTACGTCATGACCTTAGGTACACACTAAAAACAAAATCCAGCAGCCCAACAGAAACCTCAGCAAGGGAGCCTACCTATGGACACAGTGGGCCTGACCCACAGTGACCACAGGGGAAGGTCAGCTCATAACTGCAGGACTCACCATGGCTTCTGGAAACACAGTCTCCAGGACCCTGATTCTTACTCCTGTGGAGAAGTTCCACAAGGGACCTCATCTAAGATAGGGAGGATCCAAAAGAGGAAGATTCCACACCACCCACTGCACCTGCAGGAGACACGTGGACCAGGTTGAGGACTGGGGAGTCACCTGGGAGATGTAGCAGGCCACTCAGGGCATCGCCACACATCTGAGCTCCCCTGCAGGTCCAAAGAAGATAGGGCCACCAGCCTGGGCTTTTAGTGGCAGGTGAATTCTGGTTTTGGGGCAGCACCAGGGAATCTCCCATGTCCAGCATTTGCATTCCTATCAAGTGGCCCTGGTCTTTCAAACCTTGCGACTTGGACTCAAATTATCCATATTCTATGATTCCTCCAAGGACTACCTCTGCAGAGGTGCTCTGGGCTCTGACAGAGGAACAGAGGGTTCTTCATTGTCACAGCTGCCCTCTCTGTGTTCTGTTTCTTTATCTGCCTCTTCATGACCACACTCCCAGAGCTGTGAGAGCCTGCAGTTTACATTACCATTCCCTGTAATTTAAGGGACTTCCTGTTTAGAACACACACAGTGACTTCTCATTTCTATTTAAATCCAAACTCTTACTATAAACCAAAACCCTCAGATCCACTGATGTTTTCCCTTTATTAAATCAGGAGGGACACCAGTGAATCCAGAGGTTTGAGAAGAGACTGGTTTTCTGCTCTGCAAATTTCCTTCATGGAATAAAATTCATGACAATAATGGAAGGGAAGGAAAAATGGAGTAGGATTTATTTCAAGGAAAAATGAGAGAAGTCCCTCAACAAGGGAGAGGGCCTGATACACCCTTTGGGTGTGCTAATTTATGGGCTTATGTGGTTTACTGTCTGAGCTTAGATCAGTCTATGTTAAAGTGGTATTGAGAAAGGGTCAAGGTCATTAGTTTGCACTTCAAGCTGAAGGCTTAACCCTTCCTGTGATTTCCATCTGGGTTCACTGCCACCTTCTATTTTTCCACATCTCTGGAAGAAGGAGTTAGCTGGAGTGTTCCCACATATGAGCCTCATGGGATTTTACATTTGGAAAAGGTCTTCATGAACCTCATTAGTATTTGTACAGGTTAGCCTTCTGGTGTGGTCTCTGCCTTTGAGCAAGACTTCCACTGGGGCCTATCCCTTCTGAGTTCTGACCTTTGACTATTCACTGTCATATCTGCCTGCTTGGCCTAAGAAGCAGAAAGAGGTTTCATGTGCAGAGGCACCTTTCTGGAATCTTCTACCAATGTCTCCAAGAGCCTGGCTACCTCTGACAGGTGTCCTCAGCAGGAGGAGGCAGCAAGAAGAGCAGCTGGGGCAGCCCAGCCTCAAACTCCCTGGGAGGTTTTTGTCATGGCCTGTATCCTGTGGGAGGACACTCATCATACTGTTCACAGTAATAAGTGGAAATATCTTCAGAATCAAGCTGCTTATACTGAGAGTGGAATCTGTCCTTTATGCCCTGCCACTGAACCTCGAGGGGACCCCAGATAGCAAGCAGTTTGCCCCATAGATCAGGAGATTAGGAGCTTGCCCTTATTTCTGCTAGTACCATTTTTAAGTAATTGCTAATGCCCTGACTGGCCCTGCAGTTGACTGTGACTCTTTCTCCTTGAGATTTAGACAGGGAGGATGGAGACAGGGAGGATGGTCAATTTGATGTCACATCTGGAACCTGACATTGAACACATGAAAACAAATATGCACAATGTTAATCATGTTAAAAGAGAATTTCCCTGAGGATCCAGGCAGCACTGACCACACTGGGATTAGTAAATCCCCAGGACTTTTCATCTGTATCCATGAGACAGAGCAGCAGGAGCCCCAGGAGCTGAGCAGGGCCCCTCATGGCCATGTTGTGTCCTGGCTGGAACTGACCCCTGCACAGGGTGTGAGCAGCCTCTTAAGAAGCCCTCAGGGCAGTGGGCTGTGCTGTGGGCACATGCAAATCAGCAGGGCTGGGCAGGCTGGTCACAGCTGCAGGGCTGCTCCTCTCAGTCACTCAGCACAGGCTCCAGGTCCTGAGCCCCAGGTCAGACAGGGAAGCTCAGAATTGCTGACAGAAAATGCTCTGCTCTCTGGGGCTGAAGGCAGTGTTTTTGTTGAGTCCTGCATGTGACATGCTTTTTTGATGACCTCAGGTTCCATCTGTCCTTCCCTCCATCTCTGACAGAGGATGTGGGCCATGGCACAACCCCAGAAGCTTCAGGAATGCTTAGGAGATACTTGCATTTGGCACCTGAGACCATTAGTGAGTCCAGAGTGGCTGACTGCTTGCTCTAAGTCCATGATGGTGAAGTAGAAAGGCAATACAAAAAAAAAAAAAACAAAACCCATTGATTTATAAGAGGGCAGGATCTTTCCTTTCTCATCTTCCTTCTCCAGCTGCTCAAACTCTTTTATTCTGTTTATCCCTCCTGTTTCCCACTGTGTTTATCAAGACAAGCCAAAATCAAATATTTTTTCCTACTACATGAGAGGCACAGCATACTTCCTAGCTCTGCCTCTGATTGCCCACACCCATGCCTGATGTCTCCCACATGCTCAGGCTATCATTCCCACTCCCTCTGGCATCAAAGTCTACTGACTTCAGAGGTGGCAGTTCTTTCTCCTCCAACCCTCATCCTGCCTTTGGTGGCAGAGAGCAGAGCATTTTCTTTCAGCAAAATCTACCCTGTTCCCTACCCCTGAATACTCTGCCCTGATAAAGCCTGTAGGTGTTCACAAAAGCATCATCTAGAGCTTGGTTTTGAACAGTGGTGTGGCTCAAGTAAGTAAATTCACAATCAGTAATTAGACCGAAGAGACTCACTGTTGAGAAAACAAGTGATTTATAGGACAGAAGAATTATTAAACAAAGTCTGTGTTTTAGAATGTAATTACATGTGATCATGTAAAACCATGGGTTTTGTTGATAGAACATGAGCAAGTATCATTGTGTGTGGTTAAGGTGTGATTTGTTAAATGGAAAATTCATACCATCTTGAAGAAATCATCCTGTTCTCTCAAAAAGAATCTATAATTCTAACACAACTATTCACTAATCGAACCGTGAATTTCTGGAAAACGTTATATTTAGAATATAGGGTAGGAAAAAGAGAAACTAGGACCATTTTGAAACACAGGATGCAGTGAAATATTGAGAGGGTCACAGAAAAACATAACAGAAGACAATTTGTTTGTGACAGCAAGTAGACAAATTTGGAGAATTTGAAGTGTTAAAATAATTAATGATCACAATATTCTGACCATTGAAGAACATATGAACTCATTAGTATATAACATTATTTCAAAGGACAAATTCTTATTGGTTATAAAGGGGAAAACAATCATTGGAGAACTCTGGTGACACCCTGAGCCCAGGTTCAGAGAGCATCACTAAGATGTAGGACATGAAGCCATGCCCTAACTGGCAGGAGGCCATGAGAAGAGAAGAGTGTCCCCTCTGCACACTCCTGCCCACCCACTATGGGCTGAGATGTGTCCCTCAAAATTCGCAGGCTGGGGCTGTGGTCTGCACAGATAATAAGCCAAGTGTAGTGGTGTACACTTGTCATCCTAGCAACATGTAAGCCTTAGGTGGGAGGATCAGAAGTTCAAGATCGGCATCCACAATTTAGAGAAGCCCTGTGTCAAAATAAAAAAATAAAATAAAAAGTCTGCAGATGTTGCTCTGTAGTTAAGCATAAGATTCAATACTCAATACTAAAAAAAAAAAAATACAGGTAATAGAGTATATTAAAAGAGTAAATTTTACCATTTTAAGATTCACTTCTCCACTAGGGGGCAGCAGTGGGGTGGGCAGCAGGGAGAGTGGAAGAACCACTTGTTTATTGGATGGTGAAAATATGTATGGGGAGTTTCACAGGGTGTAGAAAGTCATTGTCCTCTACACAGTCACATGCTTCCTATGGAGGCGGTGTCAGGATCTAAATGAAGTACCATGAAATGGTTATGTTAGTAAATCTGCTTCCTATGCCATGTCCATCCTGTCAGAGCCTGTTTCAAACCATGCTTGAGTGGACTCTGAATTCATTTTCTGAAAAATGCCTGAAGCACTTTGTGACTTAGTGAATTGATGTCCAGGTATGACCTTGTCTTAGCTGAGTTCATAATTCCAACTTTCAGGTTCTAGCAAAGAGTAGAAGTCTGGTTTGCAGAAAAAAAAGAGACACACAAAACACTGTTAGGATACCAGATCCTAAAAATGGGCACAATAAACTGTCTCCAGGAAAGCCTGCCTGTCCACAAATTTCCTCCTCCATGGAGCCCTGAGCCTGCTGTGTGTGGAGGAGAGGTGACATCTGGATGATTTCTGCAGAGACACAGAACATGAAGGAGCTGGAGTGCCACATTTGAGGGTCACAATACACAGAACTGTCCCAAGGTCTTATCCTGGAATGCAGAGGAAATGCCCTGTTAGCAGGACCTGAGGACAATTGCTGCAGCCATCATTATCAGGCTCTGTTCTGGACAGAGGAGGCCGTCACTGGGTCAGGAAGAGAGGGGAAATGTGCAGGGACCCTGGCACACAGGTCACTGTTAACCCCAAGCATAGCCCTGGGTATTTATGGCTCTCCCTGAGCCTCCATTTTCTCCTTCTCACATGCATGTAATAGCAAATACTCCCCCATCCTGTTTCACCTCTGCCATGTACCTGTGGAAGCCAAAGATGGCCTAAGGGACCAAACATCTCTCATACATGAATGAAAGTGGGTTTTCTATCTCCTACAAAATAGAAAACTGCAGAAGGCTAACATTGTGTCTCTGGAGAGAGCAGTTATATACCAGGCAGAAATGGATTGAAGGCAGATAGCAGCTGTTATTTCCCTCTGGAATCATCTGGGCTGCTGTGGTGTCCCATCAGGCTTCTGAGACTAAGAAACTCCAGGCTGCTGATAGACGGAGAGAAGCCTCTCCATGACCCACTTCCCCTGAGCCAGGCTGGGACACCACTGGGCCTGCAGGATGCAGCTCAGATGAGGCCTCCAGGTCTCTGCCTAGGGTTTTGCTGGTGCCAGGGTCATGAGCTGCCCACACTCTAGCT